TCATCAAAGTTTTTTTATTGAAGGAAACTGGATTTGTTTCCTTGATAAGAGCTGTTTTCAAAAATATAGGGATATGTGAGTTCATACCGAGTACTTTGTATATTATGGTGGGATGTATGTCACAAAATGGGTTCTTTCAACTCTTCTCGAATAGAATAAAAGACGTCATATTGAGAGCTTCCATGCCAAAATGGTGGGAAGCACATCATGTTATCCGAATAAATATTGATATCTTGCAAACAGAACAAACAGATTTAAGAGAAGTCGTTGACTTGATGAAATATCGCAACTTTTGTCTGAAAAACGACTTATTCACATAAGATCACGAAGCCAGTGTGACTATCATCAGTTATACCGAATACAGATGGAGCAGTTCGAGGTCCTGATCATTCAAGGAATCGACAAGAGGGTTTGCGCTTGTCTCGGATGTCAATAATTCAATATTTATTTGATCCTCCGAGTTTACAGAGCTACTGGTCACGTTATTTAAACTTGATGAAATATAAGTGAAAAATACACAATGCAATAAACAAATATGAACGATAACGTTTAATGAATTCAATATTAGTGTAGTGAAAGAGGTCAAAAAGAAAACCTTTCTATTTATTTAATAAATGATTTCGTATACATTTTTCAAGTTTCCAGGAAGACTGTTGAATAATATGAGTCCAAAGACACCTGAATACTCTCAAGAAAGTGTTAAACGAATATTTAATATATGAACAACATATTTTTTGTGAATGTTTCAGATATGAATTGGACCACTGTTAATATTTTCATTGAAGTTTTTATGAATGTAGGCTAGTAATTCAAGAATAAAAAGTCCATAGAAAGGAAGTATTCACAATTGTTTAAATAACTCCCTACATACAACATTCGCCAAGCATCTCACTATTCTTTTTTGGGCCACAAAAACAGGCTAAACAGCAGATCAGCTAATCCAAATGTTATTCCAAATGATTATCCTGGAATATATATTCCCGAAGTAGAAAAAAATAGTCCATGTTAATCAAGTCAAGAATTGATTCAAGATATCCTAATTGATAACATTTGACACCGAGTACATTGACAAGCGTTCCGAGTATGTATCAAAAGATAAGTGTGGATCTGAATGTATGTCTACCTTCAATTAATTAAAGGTAGGTTAAAACAACATTGGTTGTTTTCCACCGAGTGTGGGATGTATTCAAAAAGACGGAGTTGCCATATGACTAGGTACATATACATGCAAAATAGGCTCCAATACTGACCCTTGAAACACTCCAATTTAGATACTTAATATGGCAGATAACTATGTATTTCTTTCCAATTATTCAATTATTTCCAATATTTAGAGGATGTGGGCATGGAGAAGTGGAACTGGTTTCCGCTCTGCATCTCACACCAGCATAGAGTTATCCATAAAAGTCATAATGAGAAGGAAATTTCAACATGACTTTCTATTCCTAGATGTGAAAGTGAATTAGATACAATTTGTAAATTGAAAACCAGCCCAACAAGTAATAGTATGTGAATTTTTTATTCCGACCAGAATCCATCTATGAAGAAGACAATCGTTGAAATGCTGATCATTGTTTCCTGACTTGCTGGTCAACCCAGAGACAAGCAGTTCGAATCTATTCTGGCAAACTCAAAAGCTTAATTTCAGTTACAAATGAAAAATTACCTACAATTATTTTCACATGAAGAGATTCCATTGGTAGGAATTTTTACAAGGGCCACTTTGATTTATTAAATATCATGGCCTCACATTTGACGGGATTCAGATGATGTAAGCAGTGTTCTAGTCACGCTTAACATAATATTTCGAGATCCCGATTCTGGTATTGCAACATTTTTCCAAGATTTTCATTGTAAAAACTGTCACTGTACATTTGAATACGCGAATTATAGATATAAGATAGGGCTAAAAGCGTTTATATTATAGAAAGTACTGGCCCTGAAAAGAATCCTTGCGGTACGCCATCATTATTATATAGTTCATCAGATATTTCTTCACTAAAAATCAAAAACGTATGAATGTGAGTAGAAAAATATTAGAAATGGGGAAAACGAGAAAAATGAAAAGAGGGAAACTTCTGAAGTGAATACAACAGTACCTCACGTAACTGTCTGAAATAGGCTTTTTTTTTCATTTCAACGTCCTATCTGTCAGATTCTCAAACTCATTTTTCCATGCTATTATTCAGTCCTTCCGCAGAGTTCCGAAACATCATTTATAAAAATTAGCTCCGTGTTTCTCTCATTCACCTCGGTCCTATAAATCGAAGTTACACAATTTTGTCACTCTCTTCGACTATTTTATGTTTTCCGAAAACTATTAACATTCTAGAAATGTTTTGCGAATGAGTCCACGAAACTTGACGTCGCAACTTTTTAAAAATACGATTTTCAATGTGGTTCAATCTGACAGAGAAAGACTACGCAGCTGCCGGACGATTAAGCTAAACCGATGGTTGGCGGTAGGAAAAAATCAATTAGGAAACATATTTCAAAGTCGAGGAGTTTGGCGTCCGTTTGAAAAATTGAATGGAATTCTAGTTCCAACAATTCGCTGGCTTATATATCATGTCATCCTCGGTTATACGAAGACTATCAAATATTGAAAACGTATGGTGTTTACGTTAGGAATGCCAAAAAATTTATGAGTTTTCTGGTGTGCCATTTATCCTGTTCTGGCATTTCAGGTTCATGTTCAGGATTATATCAAGTGAAATATATATGCGGAGAACGTTACAAAATAAAATTATTTTCCAAAGTTACGTGATATAAACGAATTTGCACAAATTCAGAACTATCAAATTTGTCGACTCTGCTGCAACAAATTGTCCAATCGGCTACTTTTGAGGATATCTCATGATAGTAAAAGACAGTAATATATCTCCCTACAAAGAGGCATCCGTGGGATCGGCAGAATGATACATGAATATTAAACATAAACGAGGCTCCCCAAGGCGGTCAGTTGCAAAGCCAAACTTCGACATCGACCGCCGAACGAGATCCGTCCTCGGATTTTCTCTGCAGCTCTCATTGCAAGACAATTAGATGAAACCAGAGCCCAAAAACACATTATTTATGATCCAACACTGAAAGACGCTGTTTCGACCCACCACAGATCTCATCAATAGTGCTAGGCTAAACCAGGAATGCAATGCCTATTGCCTGAGTCAGAATGGAGCCTAGCTCCCTTATCCTTTCAAAGTGTGTTTGTCAGGAGGACAAACGAGACATAACTGACTGGGAAAAGACGAACAAAGAGACGCGGTGTTCCTGAGTGGTCACCCATCCAAGTACTAACCGCGTCCGACGTTGCTTGGCTTCGGTGATCGGACGAGAACTGTCACTTTTCAACGTGATATGGCCATTGCATCAGGAATGCATTACCAAAGTCATCTTGATTTCAAGCAGGTTGGAGCCTGGCTCCCTCTCCCTTACAAATGTGTCATAACTATCATGGGATGGCGACATGAATGTCCTCAGACAGAAGGGCGGTACCGCCCTTCACGGTGAACCCCTGCCTGGGTGGGGTGAGTGGATGAGGAAATTGTTCATCCGTTAACAGGGGACATGAGGGCTTCATTCGACAGAGTGTCGGGGCATTCTATATCGAGAGGGGTCGTCTACAGCATAGTCTTTAGCTTCCTTAACTAACGGATTATCGTGAGTTTCCGCACAATCAAGAACTCGCCGAATCCTCGACCGAATGAACTGCTGAATGGAAGGCAGCTGCAAATCTCTGCGGATGGGTCCGTTTCGCACGAACCACGGAGCATTCACAATCATCCGTATTAACTTATTTTGTAGTCTCTCCAGAATGGAGATATTAGACGGAACCGCTTGTCCACAGACGCCTGAAGCATACATGATGACAGGTTTGAACATCGTGTTGTAGATCGTAATTTTATTCTTCAGGCTCAATTTGGATCGTCTGTTGATCAGAGGGTACAGACTTTTGATCCGACCCTCGATCTTTGCCTTCACGGTTTTCATGTGTGAGTTCCGGTCGATCTATTAGAAGACCGAGGTACTTTACCCGCGCTTGCTGGTCGGTCTCCCTTCCAGAGATCCTCACTTTTCTGGCCTGAGAAGCTATCATTCTTCCCATGGTTATCGCCTGAGTCTTGTCCGGGTTCCCTCGGATTTTCCATTCGAGGTACCAGCGCTCGAGGTCGTCCAATGCACCTTGCATGTAAACGATCTCGAGCTCTCGACCTATGGAAGATGACAGGAGAGCCGTGTCATCGGCGCAGAGAGATATCTTCACACGCTCGGACCTCGGAAGGTCACTGGTGTAGAGAGAGCACAGTCCCCTGTGGCACTCCAGTGAGGATCTCTCTGTTGTCGGATAGAGAACCCTCTACTCTAACCTGAAATGTTCTGTCTTTCAGGAACGCGATTACTTTATGCAGAAGGCCTTCGAAATGCCTAATAGATCAGGAATGCATTTTTGCATTCAACTGTCCGTAAAAGACACGCCTGAGTAATTAGAGGCGATGACATCTCCACTTAGGAAGACGCCATCTAGGGAGTAGACAGAAGACTTAACCAGGAATATCATAGATGAACTAGACGAGCTGGACTGAGCCCTTTGATCATTTATGTTGATTCAATGTTGAACATAAACTATTTTCAGACACTAGTTTTGTTATATATCCTTATCCACGTCGAATAGCATATCATCAGAAAATGTTCTTCAAACTGTTGGTAAAAAAATATGAGACGTTCCATTCGAAAAACACAAGAAAACATTGTTTTCCAGCGTTGATTCACTCAATTTTGAAAAAAAAAGTGTTGGTCATTCAATTATTTGATAATAAAAATACTACATTTCAAAAATATACTCATAACAAAACAGACTCTTCAACTACTTTGATACGCCATGCTAATTCCTATTTTTGTTCATATTATGGAAGAATATAACACATAAAAACAAATCACAATTGTTTTTCCGAAATTGAATGTTGTTTTTGATATACAATTTTTGTTCTCTTTTCTCTCACCTGTTACGTGACCACCAGTACTCAGAAGTGGGATATTATTCAACTGAACTGGTCTGAAGACGTGTTGCTTGGTGGACTGTGTTGTTGTGGTTACGCTTTCTATTTTTTCTTCGGTCTGGGTTACACTGGTCTCCTCGGCCTGGAAGAAAAAAAGGTTTTCAATACCGATGGCTCCACAATATCAATGAACTACCGTTTCCGGACGTGGTGGTAAAGAGGACCGACAACAAGTGGAAAAGATCCGTCCACAGAAAATCGACTCGCACGGTGCAGTACATGTACTATGTGAATCCAAACACCACCACTCGACCAAGAGAAGGATCATCAATACAATACAAGTAATCGATCATTCAGTCTCTAGAATACGAGGTGAAATTCTAACAAGGATCTTCAACAGAAGCTGGTAAAACAGACCACAAAGCTCCACAATGAAGTGGAGCCGTTACAACTAGTATTTTCGAAACATACATATCTTCTTTCATAGTAGACTTCACAACTTCTTGTCAACATGTGTTCCAATGCTATCACAGTAGCTTCATCAAACCACTACTGATGTTACAGAAACACCTGTCATTGAACAATAATTTGCAGTGAGATTTCGTTGAGTTATTTTTATTCTTGAATGTAAAGCAATTAAGATATTTCCAAAGTTTGAAACTGGATAAAGGTGCATAACCTGGTGGATACCAGGTACAACACCGATTGTGTACCTTAAGCCGTTATTAAAAAATTAATTGATATTTTACAGTGTTACCATCAAATAATAATGTTTTCAGATAGTTACTATTGTGCTTTAGTACCTTTTAATCCAACCTTATACAGGGTGTTCCTTAAACACATGCTAATATTTAAGGAGGTGATTCTTAGACCCATTTTAAGGAAAAAACGTCCTATGGACGTATGTCCTAAACGCCTTAACTTTTGAGATACAGGGTGGCAAAGGTTTCAAAAATAATCAGTTTTTTAATAATAACTGAGATAATTTTGTAGACA